AACAAAACAAAACAGTAGATTGAACTGAGATTTCCCAAAAGAATGAGCTTATTTAGCTCCATATCCAGATATTGGTATTTTATAATTATATAATGTAAGATTTGGGAAGCTCCCCTTCCCCGCTTCGACATTTACTTTTCTGATGGGATAGAAAGTGGTAAATAGCAAATAACCAAAAAGAGAATAAGGGAAGGACTCTAGGGCACTTCCCTTCTCTTCCAAATGCTCCTCATCTCTATTCTATATTTCTTCCAAGCTGATAATGTTTTCGAATGTCGAAGACTTACCAAGTCTTCAACAGATAAAATCTTTAATTGAAAAGTCGCTGCTTTCTGTAATGCTTTATTTTTTCAACTTACATGGACTGAGTGTCGGTTGACCTGAACAGCCTTCTGCTAGGCATTGTGGAGCAGGCTGAGAAGTGCCTTGCCTTCAAGGAATGTGCAGTTGGGTTGGAGGGATACAAAGTAGCACACATTTAAGTGCTAAATGAATGGAACATATGAGTGCTTTAGGCCATTCAGGAAATAGATGAATGGATTTGAAATATTTGTAACAGATTTTAGTAGGCAGATGAAGGAGTAAGTTTTTCTAGATAAGGCAAATGGTGTCAGTAGGAGCATAGAGGCAGAGATTAATAAGTGGATGGGCTGGTAAATAAATAAAATTAAATAAGTGGGTATGCTGATATTTATTTCCCAGTCAAAATGGTTTATACTTGGGAGTAGTGGGAGTTAAGTTAGAGAAGATAGAGTGATTCCGATTACAGGCACCAGAAGGGAGTGGAAAGCTTCTGAGAAAAGGAGGGGCACAGAAAAAGTGGATTAGGGGGATTAATTTGTTGGTGGAATGTAGAATGGTTTTTGGATGAAGAATCCACCAATCCCCACCAAAGGCAAGATTTTGCAGGACAAAGGCTACAAGTGACTAGACCAAGGCGGGAGGGTATAGGAACTTTAAAGTCTGAGCTAGATGGAAAATAGTGGTTTCACTAAGAGAAATAAATAAGAAGGGCTGGTTTGGATTGAGGGGGGGAAAAAAAAAAAACACAAAAAAACATGGGTACCTGCTACATTTAGGTTGTTGGCAGGACATGTGGGCTGTACCGTCCAAAGTACATAATTGTTGCTGTATAAACTGACCAGGGCTGCAGTTTGTTCACCTTTGCTCCAAGGGGGGCAGGGTTGGGGGTTATTAGAAAGCTTTGCACAGGGGCACCTGGGTGCCTCTGTTGGTTGAGCATCTGCCTTAGGCTCAGGTCATGATCCCAGCTCAGCGGGGAGTCTGCTTCTCCCTCTCTTTGCCCCCCCCATGCTCTCTTCCTTTCCTCTCACTCTCTCTTTCAAATCAATCAATCTCTCTCTTTCTCTCTCTCTCTTTTTTTTAAAGGAAGGCTTTGAACATTCAGCTTTGTTCCTTTCAGGCATGAGGGGAGTACTTGCTCTCAGAGCATTCCCAGTCCTCAAAGGGCCCATGAAGTAGTCAGGAAGTATAATTTTAATAGAATTAGCTGAAAGATGAGCAAATGTCAGGTGGTGGTTTGGTAGTATGTCATTGCTGCTAACTTTGACATGCTAAGTGTGACATTATTAATAGCTTTTATGCAGGGCTCAGAGGACTAACACTTAGCAAATTAGATTCCTTAGTTTTTACACTGCTCTTACATTTTGAGCTATTTTACCTTGGGCAAACCATTTAACCTCTCTGTGCTTTGCCTTCCTGTCCATATAATAGAAATCTTATTGTGGCAGCATTCATAAACATTTTGAAAGATACAGATAAAAAGAATTATAGGGTTCTCCCCTGTGACCCCCACTCCAAAGACAATCTTTCAAAAAGTTCCTCCATTTTGTTGAATTCTTTCAATTGCTAACTAAGTTAATTAGCATTTTTTAAAAAATGCATTTACCAGTCCAGAGCTGAAAAATGTAGTCTATAGCTGCCTTTTTTACCTTCTGGGCCTGCTTATTCTGCTGACCTCCTTTATTCAGTGGCCGGTGTCACTGGACTCTCATCTCTAGGCTCCTGGATCTCTCCCAACCCATAATAGAAGGGACTTCGAGTTCTGTATTAAATCTCTGGGAACTCAACACAAGGCAACTGCCTTCAATGTGAAATTTGGTCTCAGTTCTAGGCATTAAGCTCTTTCTTTGCTTCTAAGTCTCCCTCTGTCTGTCAAATCTGGCCTTTGGATACTTGTCTTGTAGCCCTGAACCCAAGTCCTTGCCCTGCAAACTTGCTCAGCACATTATCTCAAGGACCTGGATTCTTTCATTAGTCCTTTATAGGGAGAGGAATCCAGACCTGGAAGAAAGCACTGAAGCTGGGGCTTTGCTATAAGCAGCACATTTTCTTAATTCTTGCCATGATTTCCCAATTTTTGTCTGTTGCTGGACTGCCCAAGGTTGTGTTCCAGCTGCCCACTGACTTACAACACTTGCCTTCTCTGTGTTGAACCAGCCTCCTGCTGGCTGCCTTCCTGGCTACAGCCCATTATTCCACACCCTCCAGATCCTGTCTTCTGGCTGCTTGCTCATCATGCCAGCTGGGTCTGCCTCCAATTCCATGATGTATCTAGGTCTGATCTCCACTTCTTCCAATCTACCTCACCCTTATTACAGTTAATCCTTTTACATTAAACTAAAGCAGATATTTGCTGGTGTGGAAACTGAAGTGGTATTGGAATTTTATCCTTGTTTACATCTTTGTTTGTGTTGGAAGAGCTTGGGATCACTTCCAAAACCGGCTCAGAGAGCTTTCCTGTCTCTTCTAGGAGAAACAAATGAACACTTGACAATACTTTGTATTTAAGACCAAGGCTCAAGGCCTTTATTTCAATTGTAAAATTGCCTTATTTAAGCTTTCAGACATACTCATATTTTAAAGTATATTTTGGCCAGTGTTCATTCGTGTCTCACAATGTGAAGGTGCTCGAAACTTGATGGCTTTGTGGTTATAAGGAAATAAAGTAATCAAGACTGGGGGGATAGTGTCCTACAATGGTAGTTTCAACCTTTCCGGCACACTGGAATATTTTGAAGGGCTTGTTAAAACAGATTGCTGGGTCCCACACCCAGAGTTTCTCTGGAGTGTTGCCTGAGAATTTGCATTTCTGACAGAGTTCTCAGACGATGTTGACACAATTGCTCCTGGGATTACACTTGGAGAATGATTGGTCATAACGTTTAAACGGGCCACAGGTAACCAAAAGCTGCGGGGCAGTGTTGATCAGTTCCAAATTCTTGTCTGAACGGATAAGGTGGAGGGTGCCGAGAAATAAACTTCTAATTCCAGTCGGTGCAGTTAGAACGACTGATGGCTTCAGAGGTCTTCTCAACCACGATTACGTAGGAGAACGTGGGCACTTAACTTTCTTTGCACTTCGGCTTCCTCACCCATGAAGTAATAGCCTCTATGCTGCCGCGACCTGAGCGTTGTGCAGGTCAAATGAAATGGGTAGGAAAATGTTTGAACTCTAGAGTGGGATGGCACCAGGAGGTATTACAATGGTTTTTCAATACTCTTCTTAAAACAGCACGAGTTGGGCGCCTGGGTGGCTCAGTGGGTTAAGCCGCTGCCTTCAGCTGAGGTCATGATGTCAGGGTCCTGGGATCGAGTCCCGCATCGGGCTCTCTGCTCAGCAGGGAGCCTGCTGCCCTCTCTCTCTCTCTCTCTCTCTGCCTGCCTCTCCATCTACTTGTGATCTCTCTCTGTCAAATAAATAAATAAAATCTTTAAAAAAAAAACAGCACGAGTTTTTTGGCTTTCTTGCTTTTTCATTAATTATAGCAGTTTTAATCCAGGAATATCGAATACTTTTATTGCTATAATAAACTCAAACTTGGAGGGAAAAAATTCATTCAATGAGATCAACATGCCTTATAAACATTACAAAGAGCCAGAAATGATTCCCAGTGTACGGCAGTAAAATAGAGAACTGCGAGACCCTATCGTGACTTGGGGTGGAGTCACAGTTAATCTTTCAACGCTGTTTAGATTGGTCCACTTATAAAAATGGCTATGTTACGGCACGTTAAAACATAAAATCACCGTGTAGAGTGATAAATCTGTCTACCCCAACCTGTTCCCTCGCTTGAAATTTCTATTAATTTATCTGCCTTTGGAAGTAGTAAATCCTTCCAACCCTGGCGTGGCTATTTTTCTCACCCGAGGGCCTCCAGCTCGCGCCAAGGGCCAACACAGTTCTTGCTCACATTGGGCGCATTTGTGACTTTTCATTAGTCACCAGCTGTATAGAATTCTCCCGGGCCTTTAATAAGCATCGCAGATAGTAGCCTCCCTGTTCCCAGGTGTTCCATAAACATCATAAAACGTCAGCCAGGATGCTGACGAGGTTCTAGAGACTGGGTTTGGGAGAGTGAAGACTCGCGTTGGGTACCGGTCAACGCACCTGGCAGGGTGGTTCTCCCCGCGCAGAAAGGGGTGTCCCAGAGCCCGCCCCCGGGGCCCCGTCCGCGTCCGCGTCCGCGCGCGCTTCTCCCGGGCGCCGGCAGGAGGCGCCCGCGGTGGCCGAGGTGCTGCGCGCACCCGCGGGGAGCCGGCCCGGGGGGCGGAGGGAGAGGAGAGGAGGGGCTGGAGGGGGCGCGGCTTGCTCCGGGTCCCTCCCGGGCGCCGGGCCTCCCTGTCCGCCGGGTCCGAGGCTGGTGGCCGGCGGGGGTCGCGGCGACGGCGGCGGCGCTGGCGGGCCGCGGGCGCGGGGGCCTGGCTCTGGCTCCGGGTGTTAGGAGACAAGATGGCGGCGACGCTGTGGAGGCTGGTCTCCTCCTCTTCTCCGCTCTCCTCCGCCCCGCCGCTCGCCGCCTCCTCGGTCTCCTCCTCCTCCTCCTCGTTAGCTGCCTCCTCCTCCTCCTGCAGCAGCCCTAGCGACCGCCGGAGCGCCGGCCCGCTCTCCCGGAGCTCCGGAGGGGGATAGACGGGGCAGCTGCGGGCTCCAGCGACCGAGGCCGAGCTGGGGCCGGGGCGGGGACGGCGGCGGCGGCGGCGGCGGCGGCGCCGGGTGGGGATGGGGTCGCAGACGCTGCAGATCCTCCGGCAGGGGGTGTGGGCCGCGCTCAGCGGGGGCTGGTACTACGACCCGCACCAGGCCACCTTCGTGAACGCGCTGCACCTCTACCTGTGGCTCTTTCTGCTCGGCCTGCCCTTCACCCTCTACATGGTGAGTGTGGGGGCGGGGAGGAGGGTGGCCCCTTCCCGCTTCCCCTCGTCGGGGACCGGGAAGCGCTGGCGTTCCAGAGTCCGGCGGGTGCTCGCGCCTCCCGGGCTCCGGGCCGGGGTCGCGCCCTCTCCTCTCCCCGGCGCGCGCCCGCCGCCCCCTTGGGGCCCGCTGCCCCACCGGCTGTGGTGCTCCCCTCCCCCACCGAGTCCCCACTCTCTCCTCTTTAGGGTGTCCCCTATGGCGGGGATGACAGGAGGGACGAAGCAGCAGCAGCAGCCCCCACCTGGCTCTCCCGTGTGCCCCACCCTTTTACGGGGAAATAGTAGCCTTCTGGGCCCGGCCTTGGGGGGTCCTGAACCTGTAGCCCCTCCAGCCTGTCCCCCCGGGAGGAAAGCCCAATTAGGGCTCCCTGCCCTCCACGTTTTGTGGCAGGCGCTGAGCACTCTGCTCCTGAGGGACGCCGCATTCATCCTTGGCACGCGTGCTCATTTGCGCTCCGTTCCCCGGGCGCCCGGGCACCCCTTGGGCACTCCCTTCACCCGAGGCGGTTCGCTTTCCTCTCCACCTCGCCTCTAACCCGCGTGCGGGGGCCCTCGGAGCGGGAGGGGAGCGCGCGCGGCTCTGTTGGGAACGTGATTGTGGGGCGGCCGGCTCTGACTTGAGAGTAGATGGTGGCGGAAAACCCGTCTCCGAACCTCCCTGCCTCTCAAAATCATTGTTTTTGCTTACCACTGGTTCTTTTCGGTTCAGCTCTGTGGTCACTGGCTGCTGTGTTTCCAGGCCAGCTTTGGGGGGGAGGGAGGGAGCGGGGGAGATACGGGGAATCTGGCTGGCATTTCAGATTTGTTTGGATTCGTTCAAGGCCGTTTACTGATAGGAAAAAGGAAGTACTGCCTGTTGCTGAATTCAGTGCGATCAGCTTCTCAGAATGATCTAGGTTGTTACGCTGTATTTTCGCTGGAAGTTGTACGCGCATTTTTTTTTTTTTTAACACATTAGGTTAGGGTGGGGCATGAGGGAAACTCGTGGAAGAGAGATGATACTTGAACTTCAGTTATTTATTTTCTTTTAAGGTTCAGTTAAGTTTTTAAAGTAAACGGAAGGCAGGACAGGGTGAAAACTTTTTATTTTAGAATTCCTTTTAGTATCTGTCTGTTAACTTTGTGGCTCTTCCTGGAGCTATATAGTACGGGTGCTGGATTAGAAAGTCTGGGAGTACGCCTAAGAAGTGCTAAAGTGAGGATACCCAGTTCTTCCCTAAGTGAAGCTCCTTTTCACTGATTGGCAGGAAAAGTGCCAGCTTGGGGGAAGATGTGCGAAATTTCACATTCTCAAGCAGATTTTAGTTTTTCATTAAACTTGTTTTGAAGGGACTTATGCGGGAGGTAAAAAAAAAAAGGATTAAAAAATGCTGATGACTGATGACTTATTTTTTTAGGGGACTTGTTCAGTCTTGTCCCATTCTGAAAATTTATCATGAAGTGTTATAATTTTCAATTAATTCTGGCTTAGGGGGTTCTGTTTGCACTGCTCTACCTTCCAGGAATATGACATCATTAAGGAACAGGTTAATTACTTCGCGTGTAAGAATCCTCAGGCTGTCACAGAGCTTTCATAGCATATTTCTTTTCTATCCAGGAGAATTGTAAATTTAAAACTGAAACTGGTACTTGAGATGTGAGGATTAGTTGCTGTGTTGCTGTGTGCTGTATAGTGTTTCCTTGTAAGCACGTGAACAGTGTTAGCGGCTAAGTTTGTGTAATTAGCAAACATTACTAAAGGAAATTAGAGCAAATAGAAAGCAATACATTGAGTTTACCCTTTCATTTTGGGAGTTTATTCAGTTAAATTTAATTCACAAGCATTTGAGTCTCTACTGCGTGCTGGGCAGTTTGCTGGATTGTGGGAAAATTGCTTCACTGACTTTATTGTCTTGTTAATGGCAAGTCTGCTTTTCCTAATCTTTTAAAATATCTCCTTGGTTCATCTTTCTCTCTTTTCACATCCGGTTCATCAAATCTTGTGGGTTCTCTCTTCAAAATGTAACTCAAGCCCAGTTAATCGTCATCATCATCACTCGCTTGGTTCAGGCTACCATTATGGCTCCCCTGAATTATTGCAGGGTTTTAATGAGGTTCACTGCTTTTATTCTTTATTCTCTCTTCTTGTTACAGAAATCTGAGTGATTCTTTAAAACGTGAATCTGATCATGGCACTCTTCTGCTCTCAGAGCCTGCGCTCCCATGTGTCTCTATTATGCCTCACCCCTTTGCCTTCTTAGAATTTTTCCCACATAATAACTAATGTTCCTGCCTCAGGGCTTTTGGGCTTGTCTCCCCCCAACCCACCATGACTCCTACCATCCAGATATCTGTGTGACTTGCTCCACTTACTCAGAATTCAGTTATATATGAACTCTCCCTGATAACCCTATGTAACATAGCAACCTTCCAACTCCTACAGTATTTTCTAGCCTTCCTTCCCTCCTTTTATTTTTTTCCAATATCTCATCACTAATTGATACATGTTAGTATCTCCTATCTCATTGGAGTATTAGCTTTGAGGAGGGCAGAGACTTTACTTTGTGCACTGCTGTGTTGTCAGGACCTAGATCAGTGCCAGGCACATAGTAATCACGCAGATATTGAATGATCAGAAGTGTACAAGACACAGCTGCCTTCAAGGAACTTGAAGTCTATCTAGCTTGGGGGTAAGGAACAATTTACAAGCATTAAAACTGTTGTGAAAAGGTAAGTACAGAGTGACCTTGAGTTTATAGTCAGGATTGATTCTAGTCAGGGCAGTCAGCAAAGGTGATTTGTCAACATTTTCATTTATTTTATTTATTCATCTGAGATTTTATTTTTCATCAGAGAGCGAGAGTGCGCATGTGAGGCAGGGGGAGGGACAGACTGAGAAGCAAACTTCCTCCAGAGCAGGGAGCTGGACATGGAGCTTGATCCCAGGACCTGGTTCATGACCTGGGCCCAAGGCAGAGGCTTAACCGACTAAGCCACCCAGGTATCCTGATTTGTCAACATTTTCAGAAACATTACTAGTTCTGCTGTATTAAGGCAGATGGTTGAAAGTATACACTTGAAGTGAAATCCAGCATTCCATGTAAAAATAAAATCTGACAGTTACAGATAATTATTTGTATGTTCTTCCAATAATAATTATCAAGGATAGTGCCTATAAAGTGACTAGGTTCTTTATCCCAAACGCTGTGTTCTCATTTTACTGATGAGGACACCTGAGGTCAGTCAGCCCCAGAGGTCAGGCAGATAAAGAGCTGGGATTTATAAGGGCTTTTGTAGCCATTGTATAGCTTTGTATATTGTATTTGTACATTTGGCCATTGTATAGCCACTGTCTAGGTAGTTTTTGTTTTTTTGTTTTTTAATTTTTAATTATTTTTTATTTTTAAAGACTTTATTTGAGAGAGAGAGAGTGCCAGCATATGCGTGAGAGAGCACAAACCCCGGGGGCTGGGGTAGGGCAGCGAAGAGGGAAAGGGAGAAGCAGGCCTCCTGCTGAGCAGGGAGCCCTACTTGGGACATGATCCCAGGAGCCCAGGACCTGAGCCGAAGGGAGGTACCCAACCAACTTGAGCCACCCAGGTACCCCTGTTTGTTTTTTCAAATGAAAGACCCAAAGTCTATGAAGATGTAGTGTGTTAAATTAGGTAGAGTCTCAGGGCTTTTTGTATAGAAGTAAAACACTTTTGCTATTATTAGCTTTTTTGGATACTTTGAAAGGTAGAATTTATAGTTTCTGCAATTATAAATCATTTAAGTAGTGAAAACGGAGAAGTAATTTTTCCTTCTTACTTTCACTGCCCCTTCTTTTTCTCTCAAGGCACTCACCCCATTTTCTCTTGCTGTACAGTTGGCCCTTGAACAACATGAGGGTTAAGGGCACCAACCCCCACTCAGTTGAAAATCCACGTGTAACTTTTGACTCCCTCCACCCCCTAAAACTTGGCTACTAACAGCCTACCGTTGACCCTAAGCCTTACTGGTTACACAGTCAAGTAACATATTTTGTATGTTGTATGTATTATATGCTGTGTTATAATAATAAGGCATTATTATATAGGTATATATATATATAAGGTATAATTAATAAGGTAAGCTAGAGAAAAGAGTGCTAAAATCATAAGAGAAAATACATTTATAGTACTGTGTTGTATTAATCTGCATGTTAGTGGACCCATGTATTTCAAGCAGGTGTTGTTCAAGGGTCAACTGTAATCATTTTTGCACATGACATGTGACAGATGGTGAGCTTTGTAGTCATGAGCTTTGTGGCTTTTTTGTGTTGTGGAAAGCAGATTGTAATTGGTATTATCTTGATTTGTGAATTTTGTCTCTTATTGATTGTAAGTCCTTTGGGTATGACTTTCTACCTTTCTGAACCTTGATTTACTCATTGTGAGGTATTTCATGTGTATTTTGTAAGCAAATATTTATGAAATAAAAAATTATTCACCTTCAGAGTGGCCTTAAGTAAATGCCATTTGAAAGAATGGCCAATTAGAACTGTGTTACCTCTATAATGCTGTATGACTGGAGGACATTAGATAACTCTTGATTTATTGGTCAGACCATTATCTTATTGCTTATTGTTTTCTTCTCCAAAGAGCTATATCCTTAGGTGATGAACTGTATAACATTAAAATCTGTTTACATAATTGGTTCTTAGACTCCATTTGATGTCAGAATCGCTTGAACATGTTAAAAAAGAGCTTGTGCGCGTGGTCATTCTGATGCAGAGTATCTAGAGGGTGGCCTGTTTGTGTTTTATAGACATCAGGCCAGTTTAAAGAACCTGATTGATACACCCCTAAGTTCCATCCTCTGACCTAAATCCAGCTGCCTACTCATCATATCCTCTTGGCTGTCCTGCGGGCATCTCAGAGATACCATGTCTAAATTGGTCTGGATTCCCTGCTAACCCTTCCGACACCCCACGACCAAACTCGTTTTCTTCATCTGTCA